CCCCAAAACCCCAAAACCCCAAAACCCCAAAACCCCTAACAATTTAGGTAAAATTGGGCTAGCAGATTATTCTAGGGCTTAAACGGAGGTTTAGCAGTCTTGTTCATAATCTCATCAATGTCAATATCTTTGAACCAATCATGCTCGAAGATCTCTTCTTTATCCCGTTCGGTGCCTAGTCTTTTATCCTTGTCTTTAACAAGTAGCATGCAGATAAAATCCTTGATTTCATCACTGTACTCTATTTTATACTTTGATTTATCTGGGAATACTACTTTGGCAAGTTGGATTTTGGCTAGCATCTTGTTTCGGTTTCTATTGTAAAAAGGTGTCACCCCTACAAGCATCTCGTAGATCAAGACTCCTACTGCCCACCAATCAACTGCTCTGTGGTGACCTTTGTTGCCAATCACCTCAGGAGCTAGGTACTCAGGAGTACCTCAGAAAGTCATAGTTTCCTCCTCACTTTTTAAGATTTTTGCCAATCCGAAATCGATGATTTTAAGGTAGCCTTCTTCATCAATCAGAATATTCTCAAGCTTCAGGTCTCTATGTATGATACCTTTATCATGAAGGTAGCCTACTCCCATGATAAGTTGGATGGCATAGAATTTGATAACTTCTTCTGGGAATCTCTTGACTTTATTTAAGTTGCTTGTACAACTCACCTCCCTTTACATATGGCATCACAAAATAAATTGTTTCTATATTTTCGAAGACAAAGTCCATGCCAAGGACGAATTCATGGTCTCAGGTTAGCAGGATCTGTTCCTCAAGTTTGGTATTCTCCTCCTGGTCATATTCTATGAGAATATCCCTGTCTATTCATTTAATAGCATATTTCTCCCCAGTACTTTTAAGCTTAGTCAGGTATACTTTTCCAAAGGTTCCCTGGCCAAGGAAATCAGTGATTTCAAAATCCTCTAAAGTTAGAGGTTTTGGTTGAGCAGCAGATCTAAAAACCATCATTGACTCTCTCTGCACGAGGTCATCTGGGTCGAACCTAGTCTCCTTCTCAAGAAGAGTCTTCTTAATAGTGTTGACTGAAGTCCTGGAGTTCTCATTTGGGACACTTCCAACGATAGATTTGGACCTCCTTTCATCAGCTACCTCTGGCTCAGATTCAGAGTTAGTTTTGCTCTCTTCATCGTCTTCTTCAGAGTTATAGAAATCATCCTCTTCCTTCTTGTATTCATCGGAGCCTGCTATTTCCCTCTCAGGGGTTCTAAATTCCTCAGCTGGAAGCTTTATTAACCCATATTTACGATCTTTCAGAGTCATTGTATATATTTTCAAGTCATTGGGAACCTCATAGATTCTGAATGTATTCTTTCGATCCATGTTGGCAAACCGGAGTTGGAAGACGGACAAGAAGCTATCCCTCCCATCGATTGCGTACCGTTGGTCAAACTCTGTGGGACAATGCAGAACTATTTCATTACTCTGAGAATCATCTTCAGCAGAAGGAGCTCTTAAAATAGCACAGTCAAATAAGATTATATGGGTCTTCCTAGACTGCTTGTGCTTATTTAAACACATACAGATGTGTAGTGCTCAAAACCAGGATCCTGTCCTGGGGGACACCGTGCCTATTAAATTTTTTTACACTTCTCTGAAAACATGATGATCTCATCTTTGTCAAGTTGTTTAGTGTACTTTGGGTCTGCCTCAATGCTGAGTTTATCAAGAGCTTCCATTACTATTTCAGTTTTAATTATAGATTATTTCAACTAAAACTATTAAACTTGGGGTTTTGGGGTTTTGGGGTTTTGGGGTTTTGGGGTTTTGGGGTTTTGGGG